GTCATTTTAAGTAGTAGAGCAGGAAGATGTTAATTTTCATTACCATATACAACCTCATTGTGATTTGCTTTGGCTTCCACTTACATTTTTGCCATTGAGTCAACAAGAATTCGTCCAAACTCGAGTTTTCCTGACCCTTTGGGTCCATAAATGACAACACATTTATTGGCCAGTAGAGATTCAATCAATTTGCTCAGCAGAGAAGCCGACAGAAGGGAGATCCACGCGATTGAGGACACTGCTAAAGGATTCAGCAAGCTTGGTGCTATCGGCTTCTCTAGTGCATAAGCATTCTCATGCAATGTGATCACTATGTGCAATATTTCATAGCCTGGGTCTATTCCTGTTACCGCGTCGTTATTTCCGTGGGACAAAATTTGGACTTCTTTGGGAGGTTGTCCGCTATTTATCGATTGTGGTGTCATCTTTACACAAATTGATGAAATGCTGTCTGCATTAAGACCAATCTCATCGTCAGAATCAAGATAACGCAGATAAATCTAGACAAAATAGAGAATCTTAAATAAGCTCTTATCTATAAACGTATATGAGTAGAACATGGATTTTAGGCTCACGTGAAAAAGATTTTTTACTTTGGCCAGTAGATCAGGGGCTGACACATCAAGACACATTCTTCCAAGTAGATGGAAATGTGACATGGTGTCGGGTCCCAAATCTTCTGATAGCAGACGCTTTCTTATGTTAGAAGTGCAGTTCATTTGCTGAACCTGTAGTCCTGACGAAGGCAAGTAGTGGTGATTGGGACTAGAGGGTGCAGTTGTGAGTCGAACGTTTTGCACTTCATCATTTTGCAGGGCAGATATCTCTTTGTAGCTCATTTTTAGGAACACTGGGACAAAACGCTGTCCAAATTCGTGGGTTACTGCAAAGAGTTCTATAAAAGGGTTTTGGATTAATATAAATTTAATTGAAGTACATTTGCATCTTCACCACATATCGTAACAACCGAAACTCTTGACCCAACCTTAGAAGTTACCCAAAACTAAGGGAGTGTGTCACCTTACCTCGAATCAATCTACCTGTTCTCAGAGGATTCGCAACAAGGGGAAAAGCCCCAGAGGCCGATGCGGAACCCACGGAGGCCTTGTCAGACTCAGAAGTGGCGAGGGAACATCGGTCGACAGCGCGTTGCAGGAAAGCGTTTTCAGCTTGCAGGCAGCGAACCTGATGCTGGAGCTGGCGGACTGTCTCTTGCATCACCTCCATCACTCCACCTGCATCAGTGGCCATGCCTTCGCCTCCCTCCTCTGAGTCCACTTTGCCTGTGGTCGAGGGCGATTCTCCACTTGAACTAGATGGAGAGTGACGGACGCTTGAACCACTATAATAAACGTCAAAAAAGAACATAAATAAAGATGAGGGTAATGCAGTCTTGCTGGATTGAATAACCGATTAACGCGAAAAGTAATACGATTATAATTTGAAATCTAATATCACTGACCAGCAACACTTGTTTTCTTGTCTAATCCAGCAAAGATCAGTCGCTTTACCTACCTTATGACCTAAAGGCGAGAGGCACTTCAGAAAACCAAATGACCCAATTCGTATGACGCCAACA